TTTGTTTTCATTTCTCTTGCTCCCCCCCTTTTCCTTTTTGATTGTCAAATCTTTTTGTCTAGGTGAGGGGGAAGCAAGCTGCACCCCTCCCCCGATCCCCATGCAGCCTTCCCCCACTTTATCACCTTGTCGTTCTTTTCCCTTTATATCGGAGCTCGTGGAATACTTGCTTTAATGGAGCTATCAGCTCTGAACGCAGTGTACTCGACTGACGTGTGAACAAAACACTCTGAACAAAACAAAATTGTTTAGTATTAAACAGCTGTAACAGACAATAACGACAATAATTTTGTTACAAACCTAGAGATTTGTTCTTGCAAAGAACAAAAAGCAAAAACAACTGCAAACTCACCCACAGTGGGGAGAGGGGGGAGTATGTGCCCCCTTGCAGATGCCGGTGCCTCGCGGGTGCCACTTCCCCATTTTATGTGAGTAATTTCCGTGAAAATGCAGCTTTAGCTTGTTTTCTTGTGCCCCTTTGAACAAAATGTGTGCTCCCCGGACAGGATACGTGACGCCACTGCTCACCCTTTAAAAAAGAAAAATGAAAGATAAATTTTCAGATTGAAAATGAACTTAAACAGGTGTATCTCAAGGGTTCCTTTAAAAAAATGTACTGCTTGGGCCTTATAATACGTTCTATTAATGTGCAGAGCCACACACTGCATTTCTTTTCAAATTCTAAGGTTTGTATATACCCAAGATCTTTTGAAGAAATCCATTTACCTGTTCTCTGTGTAATGTTTCTTGTTGCTTTCTAAGAGGTCTCATACACTGCACTCAATTTAAAAGCTGCTAGTGGCTGACTGAGAAATATTGTGTTCAGTACATATGTGACTCATAATCATTCACGCGGAGATCATGTCCTTTTTAAAATTATGACATATGAAGATCTGAATCGTAAAGTCGGCAAAGCCTCCATCGGGAAACATCACACCAACTTGAAGCGAAATAAATGTGTGGTGTAACAGTCTGAAAAAGGCTGAGGCACTGCCTGCAACTTGCGCAAACTGTTAATTGGTAATGCAATTATTGTTGAGGAGCCTCTTGGAACTGCTTTTTTAGAACAGCCATTGACTTTGGAAAGAAAAGCAGACGAAGTGTGTACCCTCCATGGTGTGACAGTTATATCTCCAAAACCACGTCAACGGAGATGACGTGTGATTCGCTACATGCATAATATCTGCGCCTGCGTAATCATGTGCATGGGCTTCTAGTCGGGTCCCCTTTAGGTGGTATGTGATAACTGAGGGAAATTGGTGCAGGGTGAAGACTTACCGGCTGATAAAATATTTACACGATTCTTTTGATCTCGGTCGTCACGATATACGAGTTACAATTTGAATCCATATTTTGACGTTATTTTTCCGCGATTTAGTTTCGACATGTATCTTTTAAGTATAGGCAACCATTTTTCNATCCCGTTAGTGTGGTTTTTGCGAGTTATTATGGCGGAATCGCCAAGAATTTTGTCAACAGCGGCGGCTCTGTTAGCCACACTGGGAACCACGGCGGTAGCGGGAATGACTTCCTCCGCTAGGCCGACGGAACCGCCTGCTCCACCGGTCACATCAGCTGGCGGTTCCGCTATGGTGATCGCCACCTCGGAGTCCTCGGTTCCAGTGTTGACAACACTTTTACACACTGCTGCCAGCCAGAATGCCACGGAGATGTCAGGAAATGACACGACTACTGCTGCCCCAGTGTACACAAAAATTTTCCTGCAGACGGCGGCAGCTCAAGGAATCGCTGGTGTGTTTGCCTTCGCATCCATTCTTGTCACTTGCCACCAGGTAATGTAGAAACAAAAAAGTTACACCTCACCTTTAGGACCTCTGCACGTTTTTTCTCATTTTCTTAATTTCTTAAATTAAAACCTTTGTTCTTCCAGTACATTGTAACGTGTAACTAAACTACATGTATAGTAACCAATAACTGTTCAAATGGGGCCGTGCGGACATCAGGGACTCAAAATGGCAGGTAGTAGGGCCTAACCGATGAAAACAGCAACCATGGCAACTTATGCATATACCAGCCAGTCAGAGGATCCGATTACACAATCATTTCCTTGATAAGTATGTACTCGCATGTTCATTGCAGTTGTTTTCATCGGCGCAGTGTGTTTGCTATCCCCCATTTTGCAAAACTCCCAGATGTCCGCACTGCCCCATTATCTTTGCAGCCTCAACTCACCAGGCTTTATTTTGTTGATGTGTTTTTTGTTGTTACATGGCTGTATGTTACCATACTTTCTTACTGTTTTGTACTATTTAAAATTAAAGTGAAAATGTTGGATGAAATTCTTTGCATTTTTTGTAATATTTCTTTAACCCTAACCGGCAAGCATATTGTTTGGCTTACACTACACAGTACTACAAAATATTAAGTAATAGTCTGAGCCTGAAGAACCTAGCGCTACAGATTACCACTTCTGGCTAGGTTTCTTCCATTGTTACTCATACAGAGAACAATAAAGCCATGCATTCATAGTGCCACAGCACTGTATGGTACATTGTCTTTTCTATTGTATCTTATGGCTTCACAAAACAATAAGGTCATGTCCTCTTACAAGCGACAGCGCTTAGTACTACATTTTACTACAAGTAATAATTTGTAGTATTGTGTAGGGTTAGGGTCAATGCTACTGATATGCCATCACAATTGTGGATTTGCATCAACATTAATGACACGTGTTTATTTCATTTCATTTATTAATTTCTGCAGTTAAAAGTCACAAACAAACATACAAAAGTTGACAGGAAAGAGAGATACGTGTACATGTAGCAACACCCCAGCAGGATTGCAAAAAAGGCAAACTGAATTATACTGTCAAGTTGCTCTTTTAGAGGGATTTTAGTGGGAAAAGGGGCTTAAGACAGGAAATAACTCAATATGTGGACACCATGTGACACCCTTTGCACAAACCCTGTAAGAGTGGTTTAAAAAATCTTGTTTTTTAAGTGAATACCTTAATATTTTCACTGCTAAATTTGACTATTTAGGACATTGCTTGCAGATGGCTTATGGGTCACTGCTGGAAAACATTAGTAGCATAGGGCCTACATTACCCAAGGGGAAAAGGCTTGATTTAAAAAAAGAAGGAAAAAAGAATTCGGCTTTTATGACATTCCAAAATTATGATGGTCCAATACGAAATTCAGACAAAGCAAGGAGTTCCATAGTTCTAGTACATGTAGTAGGATCTAAGGATGCAGTGTTGTGTAGTTGAAAATATTTCGGGATGGGCCTGCTCCCATCACTCACATTTCAGTCACAGTTTACATAAATCTCAATGTACACTCTGCCCTCTGTAGAAAGGCTTTTCCTTCTGTAATTGCACTTGTTATGGATCAGTTAATCCGTAATACTTATTTGAATTTCCTTCGAAATCATGTGTGATACCGTGTACATGTACATGTACTTGGTTTCATTCACTTCTCCACATTATTCATGGAGGATTGAGGCTGAGTGACAAATCATGTGGCTGATGGCAAAGGGTGGGGCTAGATTATAGTCAGCTACACACTGGTGAAGTTACAAATGTACATCTAAATCATCCACTCTGCTCCAGTATATCATTCGCACTACCGGTACCTTAAGATAATGATAGGAATTTGTTGAAAGATTTTGAAGGATTGAGGCAGTTGTTACCTTCCAAGGAATGCATTCTGTTGAAGAGTGCAAGATTTTTGGAGGACTGAGGGTACATACATACAATGTACATGGTGTACGGTATGTACATGTACATTGTAAATTATACACTAGTATATTTGCAAGCCAGAGTTTCATTGTTGACATGACAACGCTGACATCCTTGAGCGTAAACCCTAGTGACCTAGTCAATGACAGATTGTTGCACTGAACAAGGCAATCACTGTAAGTTTCCAAATTGTACTTTTAGGTAGTTGGGGGAAGAACAGAGGATGCATTCTTGCCAGAAGGGCCGTGTGTTTAGAGCCACTGTGAAAAGGTTTTGATAAGAACACAACGGTAAAGGCCAGTTGTCACATGATAAGTACGTGGAGCCTAATACGCTAGGCCCACACATGTCCCTCACTATGCACAGGTTTTCTAGATGGTTCATTTGCCACTGAACTGTATTTCAGCAAATCTTTTAATTCCTGACATTGTGTGCATCACCTTAAAATAAGTGTCTTTTGACAGATTTTTTGTGACGGATGAGATCTGAGGCATGTATTTTGGAAAAACAGCACCAGCTGGTGCACAGGAAGAACAGCTTCAATGGACGCTGCCATTCAGGGTCATACACGTACAGTGTAGTTTGGCACTGTAGGCTCACATTTATTTTCAAGCTGAACAGAAACAAACAACTCTGAAAACAGTTCTAAACAAAAGAAATAATCAATTAGAAGTCTCAGTAAGATCCTATACAATTTTGAGAACTTTGCACTTTTTTCTTGACTCTAAATTCAGGAGAAACTGCTCCAAAGGATAGTGCCTTTTGGTCAAAATACCGGTACACATACATGTACATGTAACCCAACCTACCGTAGTCTGCTCGTAAAACTGAGGAGCTAAACCAGTTTGCGTCTGTACTGGTAATTAGACATACATGTAACCCAACCTAGTCTGCTGGTAAAACTGAGTTACATGTAGCTAAACCGGTTTGCGTCTGTACTGGTAATTACACATACATGTAACCCAACCTAGTCTGCTGGTAAAACTGAGTTAGCTAAACCGGTTTGCGTCTGTACTGGTAATTACACATACATGTAACCCAACCTAGTCTGCTGGTAAAACTGAGTTAGCTAAACCGGTTTGCGTCTGTACTGGTAATTACACATACATTTTCATTTCATTTCATATTGGTTTATTAAAATCCATTTTTGCAGTTAAAAAAAACTGAATTGCAATGGATTTAACAATCAAATAATAAAAAAAGATTAAGCAATTAAAATAAGAATTTTAAAAAAATCATAATTAAATATTTACAAAAATATACAACATTTACCATTACAGTTTACACTCACAAAAAATAAAACATATAACATGACTAATGACCAACACGCATATATACATGTAAGAACACTACTTAAACACATCCGTTGCAATTTACACTTCAAAGATGAAATTATTGTGATCTTAAAAATTTCAGTCACATCTTACCTTTAAAATTTCACACCCATGTAAAAAAAACCTTTAATAGAGGACATTTCTTAAGAGGAGCACAATCCAAATGTTTCTACCTAGAGAACTTATTAGAGGGCATTCGTTCCCATATTTGTTATGCAACTGGATTAAGGTAGGAAGCGCACTGGTGAAATTTTTTTTACATGTACCCCAACTTAGTCTGCTGGTAAAACTGAGTTAGCTAAACTGGTTTGTGTCAGTACATGTAATTTGAAATATTGGATCGTAATTAATTGCAACAAACAGATGCCAAAGTGCCGAAGCAAGGCATGGGAATAAGGCCATAACAGGTCACCAGTTCTGTGACTGTACTTGTACCAGTACATATTATAACAATCTAAGAACACACTATAAATTTGATTGGCAAGCAAGACAGTACATAATCATGTTGGGTTCAGAATGGTTAGGGTTAAAAAAAACTTTTCTATAAATAAGGGGTCCAAAGTGGAACATAGAAGTCAAAATTTCAAAACAACTTCATTCTATTCCAGCACATTTACATGTATGTCGCCCAACATCTGAAATTGAAAGAAAGACAAAAATCATGCAACTAGTTACGGTACTTAGTGGTAGCAAGTTGCAGGGCCAAAAATATAGAAACATCAAATTTCACACGTAACTGGGACACCAAACAACTTTCCAATAATTTATTAATATCCCAAACACAAAATGATATACATCCAACCAGGGCACCTAGGTATCAATTAAATAAACCTGGCAATATAGTAAAATGAACATGTAAGCGACACAAGTGCCAGACTGGGAGAGATCTATGGCATGTCACTGGAACAGGATTCTCAACTCAGGCAAAGTTTCAGAGTGCATACCCTCACAATTGTTTCCTTGTTTCAGTCAGTCTTGAAGAAAGGTAAAATCAAAAAAAATAAAACACTTACAGTACATGTAAGTCAAGTCAGACACTTAATTGTTGAAAATAACCCATCTAATGCAAGAAAGTATTGTTAAGTAAAGTATCAGGCCAATGAACGTAAGGTTTCCCATGCATGTAACAGAGACATGGTGTCCCAGTTACACATCAAATGTTTGAAACCCTGTGCTTGTCAATCGCCGGTTGTACACAATATGTACATGTACATGTACTGGTAGACATTGTATCATTCCCTGAAAAGCAATTTCATAATAGAAGCAGACACTGAGTCGTCTCCTTGGTTAGTTCTGGTGAGGATTATTAACCAGAGGTGAAACACTTGCAGAGTCAAATGGTCATTCTAATCTGCCACCATACATGTACCACTGGACTTATTTTAAAAAATGTAATGTACAGCCATGTACTGTACATGCACGTGTATGTGGGTGAACTGTTTCACCAGAAGCATTTTTCTCAAGTGTGTTTATCATGACTGCACAGCTTTCTGCACCACAAACTTCACTGAAAAAACTTCCTTTATTACTACAGTGTAACTATTCTACTGATCTAAACACACACCACAATAAAAGTGATGGCACTTGGAACAATGTACATGTACATGTACGTGCATGTAACTTAATGAAACTATATCCAACATAACATAATTCAAATGATTACCCAAGGCTATTTGAAACATACACGTACACTTGAAAAAAGAACTTATCAATTGTAACACTCCTAGCACAACCCTTTAATTAAGCTGAAAGTAATATG